AAAGCCCGCCTCTTTCCCTACTGTGTAAACATTCCACAGGCTGCTGGGTATTGGGAAAGCAAAGAGACTGTAGACATTTGGGGGGGGGCCTGACGAAAGGGCCCTGACAAGGGAGCTGTGTCTGAAGTGAGAGGGGAGTATGAAAAATACCCTAGAAAGGTTTGGAGATGATAAGGGTAGAAGAGGCCTGGGCCCCATGTTTCCTGTATAGAGGCTGGGAAAACAGCAAAACACAGGGTAGACCAGACCACTTGCTGTCTGTCCCAGCAGATGGGCTTGGGATAGCCCCACAGAGCTTCCTAAAGTCCAGAGGGGTGCAGGGCCAGGAGCTAGAATGTTCCTGTGCCCCAGGAGCAGGCAGGCCCAAAGAGGCTTCGTGGTAGGGAGTGAGGGAGCACCTAGCAGGGGCCATGCCCACCGGTGACCAACCAAGTGACAACCACATGGGAATGGGGATGTTTCAGCAGGTGCTGGCACAGGTGGATGATGATGGCTGAGGAACAAAGTCTTGCACCACTTAAAGCCTCCCGCCATCACCGAACTTAACCCCAAGAATAGGTGGGAGGGGAACCCCAAATTGGCTGAGACTGATTTCTACAACCTGGTGAAATGGAGTTCATAATAGAAATTACATTTAGTGTTAGAAAAATTAAGTTACGTTTCTTACAGATTAGAGTTTGTGGACTGAGTTGTACCCACTATGTAAGTAACTAACATTTTCTTTAGAGTTTTGCTGTAAATAAAAGATGAAAAAGAAATTTCGGTGGAATAACACTCCACAAGCAAAAGAAATGCCACTTGCAGTGTTTGTCAATTACAGATTTTCCTTCGGGTGTCATTGAATTCAGAAAGGACAGGGATCTTGCCGCAGGTTCAGATCAAATGACCATAATATTTTCTGAGTGAAAGTTATAAAATCTAAGTTCATGGGCTGTTCTTTTTCTTTTTGTTTTCTCGATGGTTCATCCTCAGTGATCCAAACACAGGCCCTCCCTGGGGACTGAGAACACTGCTTGCTGGTGAGCACTAAGGATGAGAAAGGAGGGGGGACCTCTCCAACAGGCAGCTCTACAAAACTGCTGCTCTGTGGGGACCCATGGGCAGCCCTGAAAGGCAATGCTGGGGGAGCAGGAGGACAGTGGCCAAGTTGTGAGGAACCGCTAGGGCAGTTTCCATGGGGGAAGCACACCTGGGACCCCCAGGAGCTGGGGGCACGGGTGCCAGGTAGTCCAGAAGCCGAGGAATCCAGAACCCCTTCCTGAACCCATGGACTGAGGGCTCCCCACCCCACCGGGGCCAGGTAGGGGAAGAGCAGTGTGGGTGGCACAAATCAGTCAGCCCTGGGGTAATCCTAGTGCCTCTGGTTCAGAGAGCTCCAGGGTTGACTCAGCTGTTCTTAATTTCATCATTCCATGGTGGACCAGGCATTCCTGAGGGCTTCTGGGAGCACAGGCAGGGCAGGGGCGGTTCG